AAAATCCACTGAATCATGTTGTTTTTATTGTGACACACATGGCCACCTAGACCTCAGTTTATGCTGTTTAATGCAGACATGGGAAAAGAACTGGATGATCATTGCAGCAGCTTGAGAATGTACCCGGGTGGCAAGAATTCTTGCCCAGATTAGTTATAAAGCTGGAAGAGCAGGCATTCATCCGGCACTGGCTTACAGCATGTGGGCCAAACATTGGCCAGGTTTGGCAGAGGTGGCACCGTCTTTAAGGCAGCATGCAAGACATGGGCCAGATGTCAAATGTAGTATTTGGGCCAGATGTTATAAATTGCCATGCGAGTTTTCTGTATTCTGTAGCTTTTGTAAGGGAGCACTCACACTATGCTATCCGAACTGTGCCAGGCCTGTTTCCTGTTTTGACTGTGTTCCACTGCATATCAAAACACTAAAACAATATAACTAAAGAAATGTCCACAGTGCTGAGCTTAATAAACACTCATAAGCACAGATTTCAGTTTCAGAATGAGAACGTTTATGCTTTCTGTGATCCTCTTCCAGAAACACACTCGACATTAAAAGGTGTAAATGAAATCCTCAGAATGTTTTCAGCTCAGCAGTAAAGTCTCAGAAACACAAAGAGATGATCGACGGATAATCAGACGACACTCATAGATGATATAAAGCACAGAAAGAGCAAACTCTCACCTCAAATAATGCCTGCAGATCTGACTGTTCCTCCGCTGAATTGTTGAGCTGAACAACACATCTGAAAACTCTTTCACCTCAGGAAAGCACGTCACATCCTGTTTAAGACATGAGGAAATAACCAGTCAGATGAAAAACCCAGACACACAAGTAGATAAGTGTAGTGGCAAAAAGGAGGCTCTCTCAGTGATCAAGAAGACAAATTCTTACCCAAAGTGTCTTTTAAAGTTTGATTCTTTGCAAAGAAGGTCACTCAGTCATACATCAACAACAGTTTCTGCAGAGAGAGAGATGCGGAAACAGAGTGCTTTCTCTTTTTATTGAGTTTGTAATACCCACAAGGTCATCAGTGACATACAGGATGAATCACAGTTACATCAGCACTTCATTTTTGAACATTTCAGCCTTACATCCTATCCGAACATGTAGTTTGTTAAATATCCAGATCTTGTCTGGTGATACCCAGATGTTAAAGTGGTCACAGTTGATCTAACTTAAACAGTACATCCATGAAAGAATAAAAGAACAGACCATCATAGTGTATATAAATGAATTTCCACCACATTTTCTCTCTTTTTATCATTCATGGATGACACTAAATACATTATATACTAGTTTCATAATCATGATGTTAATCATTTAACAGGTTTCTGCACACTCCATATACACTAGAGATGTTCAAACACTCTTCTTAATATAGTTTACCCATTAAGATTTACTTTTACAAACATCCCTCTTTCCTTAGAGCCGGGCTAAATGAATAATCTCTTTCATTGCGCTCCTGACCAAAATCAGACCCTCAGTCACCCCACAGAGGTTCAAACCACAGAAATCGCCTGTTTATATCACATTATTATTGTTGCATACACAGTAAATTCTGTTAAACATTGCTTCAATTAGTTACAAATCACTAATTCTCCACGTAATTTGTTCGCCATTACAAGACATCCACAAACATAGGAACACGCTGTTGTTACTGCACTCTAAAATATTCATCACATTTACACTCTTCTCTCAGTTTTCGTGTAAAGGATAACTCTTTTAAGATTAACTACAGAACATGTCAACTCATCAGGTTTGCTGGTTTTGTTGGGACAGACCCAAAATACATTTAAGCAAGCAAAAAGTGATTTTACTTGCAAAGACGTCGATGTTAAAGTCACCTACAATTAGCATTTTATCAGTTTTGACTAGTAAGTCAGAAATAAAATCAGAAAATTCTTTTAGAAATTTGACATAGGGTCCTGGGGGTCTATATATGGTGATTAAAGCGAGAGATAGCATAGGTTTTTGCATAGTATCTGGAAGCTGAACATTAAGCGATAATATTTCAAAGGAGCTAAACATAAGTCCGTTTCTCTGTTTAATATTAAGGAAATCACTAAAGATTAATGCAACTCCACCACCACGACCAGTTTGACGAGCCTCATGTTTATATAAGAATCCTGGAGGAGTTGCTTCATTTAAGCTAATATAGTCATTTTGTTTCAGCCAGGTTTTAGTGAGACAGAGTGCATTAAGATTGTTTTCTGTTATTATTTCATTAATGATAAGTGCTTTAGGTGCGAGTGACCTGATGTTTAGGAGACCAAGTTTTACGAAATTTGTATTTTCACTTTCAACTGGTTTTTCTGGTTTGATTCTTACTAGATTTTTTCTGGAGCACACAGTACGTTTATTTCTTAATCTAATAATACGAGGAACAGACACAGTCTCTATAGGATTTGCCAGATATGCGTTACTGATGTTTAAGTGGGGTGAACAAGAGTCTAGGTGGCTATAATGTGAATTTTGTGAATTTTTACCTGCTAGTCAGATGGTGCGAAGTAATCTGGAGATGTTGTCCGACAGGAGTTCAGCTCCGGCTCGACTGGGGTGCAGGCCGTCAGGACGGAAGAGCCTAGGACGCTCCCAGAAAAGATTCCAGTTATTAGCAAAGAGCAATTTCTGTTCTTTACACCATGTTATTAGCCATTCATTCAGAGCTAAAAGTCTACTGAACCTTTCATTTCCTTGGCGGTAGGTAGGAAGCGGCCCAGAAACGATGATCTGCGTGGCGGGCGAGGTGCGTCGAACCGTCTCGATCAGGCTCCTGAAGTCCTTCTTCAGGATCTCTGACTGCCGGAGCCCGGTGTCGTTTGTCCCCACGTGGAGGACAACGGCACCAGGGCTCTCGGCAGCGCCCAGGATGGTTAGAATCTGTGTAGAAATATTTCTCACACGGGCACCAGGAAAGCAGAAAGTACGTACTTTATTACCTTTTGAGGAGGCGGCACGGATGTGACGAACGATCGAGTCACCGATGATGGCCACATCGGGACCCGACTCGCGGAGAGGGGAGAAGCGGATCTCCGTGGAGATCTCGAACACGGGAGGAGACGTTCTGCCCCGAGATCTGGGAAGCACCTTGCGCGGCTGCACACAGGCGCCGTGGTAGCCGGGTGTCGGCGTGAACGACGCCTGGCTGAGCCGCGCCCCGGGTGCGCTGGACCTGGACAGAGAAGGACGCGGGGTTGAGGTAGAGGGAATGATGTGGTTGTAATTTCCTCGTACCTTAGGTGATGAGACGGCCTTAGCATTAGGTACAACAAGCAGTTGTTTCTGCAGCCGCGACCATCTCACCAGCAGCGACCGGATCTGGGACTCTACTTCTTCCAGCTCCAGCTCCAACGCCTCCATCGATGCTTCTCCTGCACACAAGGACAGAGACGGAAGCGACATTTTACGGGGTAAAGAGCAAAGCCAGTAAGTCAAAAGTGTATGGTAAAAGAGGTCGGTAGCTTTAGCTGACCAGCGGCGCTAGCAGGCTAAAGCTACAAACAACAGGTGGATGCTCGAGGGACAGACCATTTTTAAAGCAGTTTTGTTTGTATAAATGTATTAAGGGTTTGGTCACCCTAAGTAGGAGAGACAAATACTTAGCGAATGAGGAAGAATTTTATGATTAAGATTTAAATTCAATCTTAGCATTAGGTACTAAGGTGGAGATTGTCTGTGAAGCTCTTGTGTCTCCTGTGAGTCTCGTCTCCTGAATCTGCGTGACTCATATTCATCACTGTTAACAGATAAAACTACTGTAATCATACATTTACAGGCAAACACATACAGATATTCAGTCATTCATTTGCCTACGGCACTATTCTTTTATTTATCAGGCGTCACCACAGCAGAATGAACTATTCCAGCATATGTTTTACACAGTGAATGTCATTCCAGCTGCAACCCAGTACTGGGGAAACACCCATACATGCTTCAAGAGTTCACACTTAGCTGATGATTGTTTATAAAGCTTGTTTGGCATGCCGCCCCGGGAGAGAGCCCTGAGCTCATAAGATCCTCGAGCCCGGGGCTCCCTCCTGTTGCAAGGCGAGAGGGGAGTTTGAGCTCAGGTAGATCTGGAGAACTCCCCTGGTGTAGTAGCTAATGAACAGATAGTAATTGCTTTTAAGAGATAACTACTTACTAGGAGCATGTCAGTGGTGCCGATTTGGATTAGTCAAATCACTTAAGCTGCATGTTTTTGGACGGTGGGAGGAAACCAGGGAACCCGGGGGAAACCCACGTGAGCATGGGGAGAAGGTGTAAACTCCAAACAGAAATGTCTACTGGTTTTGTCATTGACCAGAACCAAAGACGTTCTTGCTGTGAGGCAACAGTGCTAACCACTGGGCCACCGTGCCACCCATCTAGAAAAGAAAGATGAGTTGGGGTGGAAGGTGTGATTCTTCAAAAGAAAGATGGCTGTGATATGAAACCTAGGGCACTTACAGTAGACTAGGAATCTTCTGATTGGTGAATCGTGAATTGGATAATGCAGGGCAGCTGCGAGCAAACATAAGATGTGATCCTCTCGACATTAGTTTATAAAGAAACTTCATTCATTTACAAGACCTCAGAAAGTAGCTGTGGATACAAATATTTTTTTAAAAGAAATATTTGATTTACTGTTTATTATTACACAAAAGCCTTAAGCTACAGCAGCTATGATTATTTTTCAAATCTGTATTCAGACACATTTACTGAAGAGTTTTGGCTGTAAACATCTTTTATATTCTAATAGTGAGGAAACGATGATGAAGAATTTGAATTTAAGTGAATAATCAATACATGTATGTGTTAAATTGACATGGAAATATAAAATGAGGATTTACTGAAAATACTCTGAGTAAAAGAACTAAATCTGCCACCAGGAGTCTGTAAATGTCTTAATGAGCCACTAAAGTCATTCAGGAATGGCTCTCTTTACTGAAATGTTGGTTCACAATAACATGTTTGAAACAGTCCATGTGTGAGCAATAAAGTAAAACCCTGAATACCTTTGAGCAGATGATGGTGTTTCCTCTCTGAGGTCTGGTGGATCATCTTTAGAGCAGTCACTCTTCAGAGACACAGAGCTGGACACACATGATCCTGATCTCACACTGAACACACAAACACACCAGAGGAATAAACTGCAGGACAAACTTCAGTCTCCTTTAAGAGTTGTATTGGTTTGTTCAGTTTAATTCAGCACAAACAAATTTTTGTCTGAAGGTCTGTCTGATCAGGTCTGAAACACAGGAATCATGGGTAAACATGACACACATTGAGCTCTGGTAAATATGACCCCAGATCGAGCTGTCGGTAGTCTAGAATGATCTAAACACATTTGCTGAAGCTGTAAACTGAAGCTTTGTCCATCATTTGATCAGGCAATAGCAACACAAATAAGTGCATTGTTGATGGTCTTTGTTCTTCAGAGAAAGTGTTGAAATAATGGTGTAAAAACAGAGTCAATACCTGAGCAAACAATTATTGGTATTGGTCGGGTCATATATTAACTGAACTTCTGCTGTTGTGTGTGAGATGCTGTGCATCCTAATTAGCATTTCTGCAGAAGTAGATACACGCTGGTCCAAAAATAAATTCAGCTCTGCAGAAACTTCCTGTCTGAAGAAAGGTGTTAAAGCTGAACACAGAGCACAGAAAGTGTTATGCTTTTATTGTTGTGCAGAGAATTGGTAGAGGACTTGTGTCTGGGGTGCAGCCAATGGAGGACTGGACAATGATTGACAAATGAAGAATTTAACTAAACTTCACCTGTTAATATCAGCTGCCTATATAAGTTGAAGTCGGGAAAATAAAGTTGTTGTGCACCTCCTTAATGTATCTTCTGCATTGCATTGAGGACAATAGAATACTGTGAATCGAACTATTCATTTGTATCCAATAAATTGTTACGATTTTTGACATTGAAGAAAAACCTCTCCTGACCTTTTTTTATTGAGCATGCATAGAATTGATTAATATTCTAATACTAATTACCCTAACCTGCCTAGTTAACCTAGTGAAGCCTTTAAATGTCACTTTAAGCTGCATAGAAGAGTCTTGAAGAATATCTAGTCTAATATTATTCAGTCATCATAGCAAAGATAAAACAAATGAGTTACTAGAAATGTGTTATTAAAACTATTATGATTAGAAATGTGCTGGAGAAATCTGCTCTCCGTTAAACAGAAATTGGGCAAAAATTAATCAGGGGGGCTAATAATTCTGACTTTAACTGTATGTTTGGCTTTTGACACATCCTTTAAAATACGTGGTTAAGAGATTAGAGCTTTTAACTTTGTTTTTATTTGTGGGGCCGGTGAAAATTTTAGCAGGGCAAGTAAGCATCTGAATCCCTGGCCCAGTAGGAAAAATCCTTAGGGCCCTATCATACACCCGGCACAATGTGGCGCAAGGCGGGGCACAATAGCCTTTTGCTATTTTCAGCTTGGCGCAAAAGTTGTTTTGAGGTGTTGCGCTACGCTGTTTAAATAGCAATTGCATTTGCACTCATATGTGTGCTCATAGGCGTTCTGGTCTAAAAAGGAAGGTGTTCTGAGGCGCACTGCTGGCGCGTTGCTATTTTGAGAAACTATTATAGATTTTTCATTAGACCAAAACTAACCCAGTATAAACTCCGGCGCAGAGTTGCGCCTCGCTTACACACTGCTACACACAAGATGTAGAGCAATACGCAAATATCTTTACATATGAAAAAATGTAAATATTAAGGATATATAGGATATAAATATAAAGGATTAAAATATTACAAAACATATTATTTTTTAGCCTACATAAATATGAAAAATCACTGCTTTTATGTCTTCTTCATCTCGGGAGGCTTTTTCAGTTCATTCATAACAATTTGCTTTTGTATAATGTTATTATTATTAGCAGTATTACTTATTATATACATATGTATATTTGTTTTATTAAAAACAAGCTTAGATTTGCCCACCTGTCAGGTTTTAGACCATATGGGGCACAGCATGTTGAAGTGGATTTTATACTCTTTAAAGTGTGAAGTTAATATATATATTCAAATTGTATGTGTATAAGCTGCTTGTAGACTTGCATACCATTAGAAGAATTACCATATCACAAGAACTGGATAAGTTATATAGTTACCAGGTTTGGGTCAGGGGTTAATCTAGGTGGAAATTGAGGTCAGGGGTTAACCTAGGTGGAATTTGTGTGACATATGTAGAAATAAGGGAAAAACAGATGACAGAGGTGGAATTTGGAGTCAAGGGTTAAACTAGGAGGGATCTTGTGTGACATATGTACAACAAAGGCAAAAACAGAGTATTTAAGGAGGGCAGAAGATGAGTGACACAGAATTTTTCAGACAGAGATGCTACTGGGGGTCTCCTGAAAGTTCTCCTTTGTTGTCGACAATAAAGTATATTCTTCTGATATTCATAACCTCCAGACTGAGTTTGATTTAGTAAGAGAAAAACCAAGAAAACCACCACAATGTGTATTTGGATATAACTCTTTAACTTTTAACACTTCATTATTATTGTTCATTTATTCGTTTGCTGGAAATTAGAACTAAATTTAGAAATAGTTTTGAAACAAATATTTGCGCTTAACAAACTAAATAAATTTTTTATAGGCTAATTGATGTCTGTGCGTAAAGGTTTCCCTATCCACGAGAGCGAAAGTGAAAGTAGACCGATTATCTCTCATTCTTGCGCGGTAGATAATCTGTTTAACTGTTTTCTTTTAAAAAACTGTTAACTGTTTGCTTGTGAAATGCTCAATTTTTCTACTTAGAATTACTTTGCGTCCTGTAAATAGCAAATGCGTTTATGGCACGACGCAGCTGGCTCTTAAAGGGAATGGGATATGAGACTCTGATTTGTTTTTTCTCAAAACACACCTATAACTCAAAATAAACTCAACCCTTTTAGACCATGCGCCACAGCACAAAGCGGATTTTCCCGTCCTTAAATTAGCAAATATGGATTCTGACACGTCCTGAAAGCGTGTGCGCCCTGCGCTTTGCGCATGGTCCGTCAAAATAGAGCCACTTAAAAGTTGAACCCTGTGTTCGTTTAACCCCTGATCTAACACCTCAGAGGGACATTATAAAATGCTTAACGTGGAAAAAAGCTCAGACCACAGGTTTACCCCCACTGCTGGTCTCACTAACAGCACTTCCAGCAGCAACCTAGCTTTCCCATGTGGTCTCCCATTCAGCTACTGATCGGGCGCAGCCCTGCTTAGCTTCAGTGAGTGACCATGTGAGAGTTTAAGAGAGCTAGCTGCTGGCTAGTTGAATTAATTATAGCTTAATATAAGCTCTGAACCCTGCATCTTAAATGTAAGGAACAGGGAAGGAGACTGAAGGGAATAATAAGTTTGGGTTTTAATATTAACCCAGTATTTGTTGCTTCCCTTTTTCTCTGTTTTTTTATATTAATATTTTTCATTATTTACTTATTGATTTGATTATTTGCGGATCAATCTTTGCATTAATGTAATTGTTTTGTTGTTGTTTTCTTGAGTTTTTAATGTATATTCTATTACTAAGTAATGCATTTTCTGTTTTGGCTATTTATCACTCGCTGTCTTTCATTGCAGGGTTTTTACTTTTGGAATTAATAAATAAAAATAAAAAACTCAAGAATATTTTATAGAGTCTTTAGTCAGTTTGCTAAATTAATGAAATATGTTTTAAACACTCCAGAAGGATGCAAAGTAGGAATCACTGCTTCCTTTATTAAAGATAGTTTAATTCTTCATTTGTTAAGCTGCTAGTTGACAGAAACAGCGCTGTTGTAAAATGTCCAAGTCATTCAGACAGTTATTAAGTAGAAGAAATTAAGCTTTACTTTTCTGTTTCATTGATTGTACTTAATAAGCAATATAATCATTGTGGGCTGGTTTGCAATGGCAATACTCCACTGTTTAGAGCGAGGTAGGACCCCAAAATGATTTTGCTTAGGGCCCCCAAATGTACAGGGCCGGCCCTGCCTTTTCCTTATAATGGACTTCAATGGGGAGAAAACGCTTAACGTGAGTTTTTTTCCCCTTTATCTGGACAATTGGGACTCGTTTTTTCAACAGTAGTTAGGATGAATTAGAAGAAAAGTTTTGACAGAAGTTTAGGTTTCTCTGGTAGATGTTTTGGTATGTTAATTATTATTATTTTTTTTATGTTAAGTGTTTTATAATGTCCCACCTCAGATATTTCACATTTGATACGTGCATACTATGTGTCTGTCACAACAACTTCCGTCCTAGCCAGCTATTTATTTATTTATTAGCTTAGTTAGTAGTTAGTTAGCACTAAAACAGTTAAATGCAGTTCAAGGAACATCAATAATTGAGGTAAAGTTGGTTTTATATTCACACATTCAGACTTTCTCCTTAATAAGATCATTTCAGAAAAGTCTTGTAAATAGCGAGATCATATTAGCAGGCGATCACTATCAAAATGTACAAGACTGTTCACGGTCAATTAAACAATGCTAATGTTTTAAAGTCGTACTTGCATGTGATTTTAGTCTGAATGGTCAAAGTACCACGATAAACAGTGTATGGAGCTGTCACTGGACGAATGTGCGAATATAAACCAGCTTATAGAGGTAAAGTTGGTTTTATATTCACACATTCGTTCATTTAGAAGTCTCTATATTATTTACCATGTTACTTTGAATATTCGATTATGACTTGAAAACAACTTCAACACTGTTTATTTGACTGTGAACAATGTTGTACTTTGATAGTCATTAGCTGTTAATATGATTTCACTGTTTGCAGTTTGCAAATAATACTTTAAAGAAATTATATTATTAGGGGGAAAGTTTGAATGTGTGAATATAAAACCAGCTTCACCTCAATCCGCATCTTCCTGTTAACGGAAGCTCTGCTTTCACTTTCAAGACTCTCTCTCTCTCTCTCTCTCTCTCTCTCTCTCTCACGTGGTGTGCGTTTGGGTGAACGGGAGCTGAGCGTCTTTTGGAGAGCGTGGCTTTTCTTACCTTTTTTTTTTTTTCCCCCTTTAATTAATTTATTTTTCCCCCCCGTTTTCTTTGTAGTTTATGTTTGTTATTTTTGTACCTAAATAACGTTTAAACAACACTAAACGCCGCAATG